GACAGTCTAGGCCCAAGAAATTCAGGGAACCAGGAGACAGGAGAGAAGGCAGGGCAGGCGTGGAGACCTAGAGGTCAGGGGAGCCGGGGAGCAGGAAAACAGGATATTGGTGGGGAGAGGGGTGGCAGAGAAACGGAGGGCCCACACCCGCTTCAGTCCGAGCCGGTGAGTTGTCCAGGGCAGAGCATCCCAGCACCCAGAGAAACAGGCAGGTGAGAAAGATGGGGGGTGGGGGGAATCTCTCATCACCTCAGGTTTCCGTTCCTGTTACCTAGAGAACACAAGTGGACCTGGCCTGTTAGACAAGAGGTGATCACTGAGAATGAGAATTTGGGTCAGGCCATCAGAGAAAGAAATCGATTCTCCGTAGAAACAAGAACGGCATTGACTGGGGTGAGTGACACCATGCATGACGCGATTCCGGCGAAGGCACTGACAGGCATGGCCCTGCCATGCTGGCCTGGGGGATGCAGTGGAGGCTGCGCTGCAGGGAGCTCTGGCTCCACACACTCTTCTTGGGAGTGACAGAGCAGCCCACAGAAATGCCCGCCACACCCCAAGAATGAATGCTCCAACTGTTCCACACAGGCTGCCCAGGACACCTTCCAGGCACCACTTTTGAATTACCAAATCCCAAAAGAAGTTCAAGAGTCTCTTTTCAAATTACCAAAAAGGATGTGAAAGGGAAGATACCATTTAAAAGTTCTGTTGTTTGAGGCCAAGTCAGACAAATTACAAACAGCAATTGCTCATCAGGCACCTGACACGCATCACCTCATTCATGCTTCACACCCACCTGGCCAGGCATGCAGTGGTAGCCCACTCCACAGTGGTTTGTGCCACCAGGGCCCAGGCCACACAGCCATGAGGTGGCAAAGCCAAACTGGCTGGCTCCAAAGCCCAGGTATCTAACCACTCAACTCTCAACGTGATGTTCAGAAGCATTTCCAGAGGACGGAGAAATGTAGCGTTGGCACGTGTGCCTCCTGAAGATGCCTTGAGTGAATGCAAATGCAAAGGTGAAGGAGTCTTGAGGACAGCACGCAATATCTCCTGTAGGCAGAAAGCCTGACCAGGGACTATCTAGAGCAGAGACCAAGATTTTTGGCAAAACAGCAGACAGCAAATGTCTTAGGCTCTGCTGTCTCAGTGGCAACTATGCAGCTCTGCCACTGTAGATCAAAAGCAGACAGACGACACCTCAAAGGGGTGTGCTGAGTTCCAAGACACAGCACACAAAAACAGGGAGCCACAGTTTGCTGACTATGCCTTAGACCATGGGAGTCCTAGGAAATTCCTGAGTCAAGGACAGACATAATCAGATGAGTGCTTTAGAATGGACTAAGGTCACTGCCGAAAGATGGAGTCAGCATGTTTTAGATGTTATGTGAAATAAACTCTGGTGTTATCATGGTTTTTAGTTATTACAGTTACTATAAACAAATGGGAGTAGTAGGCTTGCAATAAAATTTTATTTGCACAAACAGGCAAAGGTCTGAATTTGACTGAACCCTGCTGCTCTAGGATTTCAAGTCAGGGATTCCAATAAACCAGTAACAATCTGAAATCAGCCACCATGGTTCTTCAAACACCTGCCACAGCATAAAAAACATTTACAGCATACTAGCAACTTCTGATAATACCAATATGAGGTTAGGAAAAGGAACGGTTTTTTTCCTTTGTCTATTAACTGGATTCATTCAAACCAGAGACAGATCCCAACCCTACAGGATCAGCTCTTCACTCTTTCAGAGAAGATTCTAGGCAGATTCTGTCTATAGGTACATTTGTGAGACAAAAAGAAACTGCAAATTGATGACTCAGGCACCCTCTTCCCCACTCCACCAGCACAGCTAAACCACTGAACCATCTTTCAGTCTCTGCATCTCCATCAGACATATGGCATCAACTGCCAGGGCTACCTCCCTGCTGATTTGTCTATGTCTGGTACTGGTGAATTACCAGGGAAGCAACATCATCAGAATGGCTCTTCAGGATTCCGGGGCTTGATGTGCACTATACCATCTTGTTCAGTCCCATGGCTGGTGCCCAGAATTGGGAACCAGGGAGGGAGACAGGCTGTTACATTTTAAAGAACAAAAAACAGTTATCTGCTTAAGAACTTCCAGAAGAAGATGCTGTTAGGTAGTGTTTGCTGTCTCTACTCTTAGTGCACTGGTTTTCCAAGGTGGGAAGGGAGGCATTTTGGCCCCTGTATCTCAAAACATTTTGAGTGTCACATCTGGGGAGGTGCTACTGGTATCCAGTGGGTTGAGACACCGGAGATGCTGCTAAACATCCTACCATGCACAAACAGGGCCCCCAGAACAAAGACTTATCCAGGCCACAGTGTCAACGGTGCCGAGGTCAGAAACCCTGACTTAGGATTTCACCACATGATGATTTGATGATTCCAATGCCACAAGCACACATGCACAGTCCAATTAAATGCCAGAAACTCAGCTCCGAAGACCATTTTGACTGACATACCAAGTTGATTAAATGACAGAAAAATAGCAGTGTGAGCTAAGACTTGCTGATGGTGTCTATGTAGTTATTTCTTTGTTGTTTTTGAGAAAGAAAAGATCACTTTGCTAAGGGTCATCTATAAAGGAAGGAAGAGAAAATACATTTCTGAAGTTTCTTTGAGCTCTAGGGTTTTATGATTATAAGCATACAAGGGGGTTGAAATCTAACATACTATTCTGGGGGCTGGTAACTTTCTGAAAACCATAGCATCTCTGTGAGGATGAAAAGCTAAGACCAGATCACTATCCTTTAGAATGTAGCAGACACCTACCCTATGAGATATTTAGCAGTACACAAGAAATAAAAGTGGTCAAAACTAGAGAAACGGAAAATCTGTATTTACCATCCATTGCTTCTTTCCTTCCTATGGAAAACATTCGCTAGGTGGAGATAAACAGAAGGAGGAAGCCAGTACTGGACTCCTCCCTTTTCACTCCCGAACGGGATACACTAAACCAGACACTTGAAAACAGCACCTATTTTATTTTTTATTTCTTTTCCATTACCATTTATTCCTCTTATGCCCCTAAACCCTCTGCAATCACCACTCTGTTGTCCATGTCCCTGAGTCCTTTTTCCCTTTTGCTCGATCCCTCCACTCCCTAACACCAGCCCCCCAGCTGTCATCTATTTTGTTATGCTTACTTATCACACACTGGCAATACTAATCATGACAATTTGCTTCATTTATTTTTTTTCTGGTGGTTTACTAATAACAGACAGGAAATACAGAGTGGGGAAAAAGTAGGTTTACAGTGTGAGTACATGAAACATAGTTTACTTTTGTATTATTATTATTATTTTCCATAGCAAAGAACTGTAAACCTAGTTTTGCCCCACCCTGTATTACAGAAGTGTGAAGTCAATTAGCAGTTTAAAAAAGCACTGTCTAAAAATGACTTAGTTGTTTTTCAATATAGGCTTTCCAAATGGAGTTTCCTTTTAGTAATCCATCAAATCAAAAAAGGTGGCATTGTATTTAGACATATTAGCAGCTGATGTCTACAGGCATGGCCAAACCATGAGGGAATAGACCAAACACAGACAGTGTGATCATTCAAACAGTAGGCAGTGGAAGAGAATTTCCACATTGTATGCTAAAGACCACCATTTTCTCCTTGCCAAAAAAATGTGTGTGTGTGTGTGTGTGTGTGTGTGTGTGTGTGTGTAAAACTAAAAACTAACCAAGTTTCCTGGATCCTTTCAAAAAGAAAGGAATATATATATATGTAATTGAGCGTGATTTCCTGTATCTGAACTCATGCTTCAACCGGATGCTATACATTTTCAGGAATCATCATTTGGATTCTACATATGTCAGGGGACATTCCTTGATTGGGTCCTGAGATGGACCATCACCATTTTTCTCCTCACCCAACCCCATTCTTGTATCTCATCTATATCACACCTTGGGGTCTGAAACCCAGAGGCCACTGAATTCTCCATCCAAAGACTAGACATGTCACTGAACAGCAACAGGTCATCCCACAGACCAAGTCCATTCCAATCCTCGGTGACTACAGCAGACCTGGGAAGTGGCTTCTCTAAAACATGGTATGATCTAAATTTCTTTTGGAATTTTTGTTTTGTAGTTATGTATATGTTTTCATAAGTACTTTGTGTCTCTATATATTTTTATGTGTAGTTTCATGTGCATATATAAAATATCAGAAAGAGATAAACTAAAATGTTAATTGTGGTTATTTTTTAGCATAGTATTTTGCATGATTTTATTTTTTCTTACTGTTTTTTTTGCTGGTCTCAGCTTCCAAATTTTTCTATATTAAGCATAAATTTTGCCAAAAGAAAAATAAATGAAATACCATATGCATATTTTTTTACTGAACCTCATTTTAAAAAGGGTTTAAGCCACCTGACAAAAAAAGCAACGAGTACAAAAAGATTTCTTTCAAAGTGCGAGCACTTAGAGTCAAGGGCAAGAAATAAGAGCAATAAACTCTGAAGAAGTCAAAGGTTAAAGCTATTAGCCAGCACGCAGCCCTGATGTCCTGCACATTAGCCAGAGGGAGGCACACACTGGCTCTGAGTTTCTTGGCGTCCACAGAACATTCCTCCCCAGCCTGTTTACCTCAGTCTACCAGTTCTAATTAAGTTTTGTTTAGGGAAAGATAATGAGACTATTTTTCTACATTTCCTGATCATACTCCCAGATGAAATCATACAATCCAGAAATGTGTTGAGGGAGGAAAAGCTAACTGCAAATACAAGCAACAGAATACTAACTGTTCTCCCCCATTGCTACTGGGGCTGTCAGTGTGTACAAGAGCTCAGAACCTCCCAAAGGGCATTGCTTCAACTTTCTAAAAGTGTCCCTTTGTGTGCAATTCACCGCCATGAAGGCGGTGGCAAGGGACACACTCAATCCACGACAAGACCAAGTCTGAGGGATTCTAGGGTCCTTTTGAGGCAAAATCATGTTCAATCAAGAAGCCCAGAAGCACAGCACTTACCATAAGCTGTCATGACACCAGCATATGGTCCGTCCACCACATTCCTATTTTCTTCTGCCAGTGCCTTGATGTACCTCTTGCTGAGGTCCAGGATCTGCTCACGCAGCATGGAGCTGCTCTCAGGCTGAGTTCGCTGCTGGATGGTAAAATGCAGGAGCATCATACCCCAAATAAAGCCAAAAGTCACAAGGAAAAAGCCCAGCTTCTGAGAGGACAACTTCCATGGAGTAAAGAGAGCCATTGCTCTCCGGCAACGTCACCTGCCGTCGGCTCTTAAAGCGCAGAAAAGAAATGCATGTTCACGGCAGTGCCGAACATCTCACTCCGGCTCCTGCGTCAGCCGATTTCCATTCCTCTCTTTCATTCTGCTGTGAAGAAGGAGGAAAGTTAGCATGGTGGCTGGGGCAAAACACAGTAAAATAAACCAGAAACCCTGGTTTCACTTAACTGTAAAATGTGAACTTCCTTTTTTTCTTAATTTGCTAGTTTAGTATCCAGGGGACAAAAAGCTGTACAAATACAGAGGAGTAAATGTGTGTCTCAGTGTGTTAACAAGTGTAGCAGAGCTGTTCCAGTCTGGCCCAAGTTCAAAACAGGAAGTTTGTTTTGCAAGGTAAGGAGGAGATGGAAGGATATTTCATTGAATGTCAGCAGAAACCCAAGTGGAGGGTGGAGCTGTATCGCCCCAGGGCACTTTTGTACGTCTGTAATGTGAGCTTACAAAGTCATTATTCTGTGTTCTGGTAAGGATTAGAGCGTGCAGCTGGACAGGTGAGCAAGAAAGTGGATGCCCCCCAGGGGTAATCAGACAAGGAAAGGGGAGAGAGCCCTCCTATTACTTATGCATGGCCAGCTTTCATTAGCAGTGTCCAGAGACAAGGTGAATCTCTCTGGGCCACCAAGTGGCCTCTCCCAGGTACCAGCACAGAGAGGCTGTGCCAGGGTACTCGGAGGTCCTTCAGTTCTCCCTGCCATGAGTGAAAGCTATACCTCACTTTTCACCAGCACACTTCTCACAGGAAATGTGGAGTGCTCGCCCACCTGCTTTATTGCGGTTCTCTGTTTCACTCATGCCATCGGGCAACACGAAGTTAAAAGGCATTTCCTCTGCCCATCACATCATAAGGAATACAAATGTTAAATCAGTATGTTTGTATACCTGAAACAAATATACTACTGTATGTCAACTGTACTTTAATTTACAAAAAAAAAAAAAAAAAGGTAATGCAACCAGATCCTATCTGGTATCAGCACAGGCTAGGTCCTAAATCAAGGCTTCCCAACAAATAGGGCAGAAACATAAGCTGCAAATGAATTGCAGGTGGGCTAAGATATCCAGCTAGAGAACCCCCCTGGCCCCAGGCAGAGTCCTGGGCCCAAGAACCACCCAGCTTAAAAAGGACACCATTTTCTAAGTGTGCCAAGGGAAAGGCTGAGCAAGGGTCTCCTGCGGGGGACTAAGCCAGGAGGTATTCACAGTGTGCACAAGTTTCAGTTCAAGACTCTTCTCTGTGAACAACCTAAGAAGAAACCATAACAAAACCTTAGCACTTTCAGTGTGCGATGCAGGGAATCTATGTTGGTCTTCCTCTTTCACTGCCCTTCCCTTGCCTATCAAGAGTCACCGACTCTTCCTATCCACCTTGCCTATCAAGAGTCACTGTAGTGGGTAGTGCCACTACAGTGCTAACAGTAAAAAATAAAATCTAGGTATGTCCCACGCATTGTGGTTAATGTTTTTTTGTGCCTTAGCTCACTGAACTCTTGTAAGAGTCTCATATGGTAAGAACCATTAATATTATGCCTGTTTTAGAGAATAAAAAACAAAGGTGTAGGGAGATGCACCACGGAGCAGAGGACAGAACATCTAGGGACCAATCGGGAGCCAGGAAATGAGACTCTGCCTTCCTTACACCACCCCTCCTCTCCAACCTGCCTGTGTATCTATGGTCAAGAGTGGCCTGCACATGCTAAAAGGGCTGTAAAAAGAGACAAATAAGAATATGTGACTGAAATCATGCATAGCTAAGAGGCTAAAATGTTTAGTACTGGTCCTTAACAAGAAAATTCTAGACCAGTCATTTTCAAAGTGGGGCCCCTGACTCAGCAGCAACAAGAGCAAAAGTGAGAAATGCAAATCTCAGGCCCCACTTCAGACCCATGGAGTCAGAAACTCTGGGCGCAGGGGTGAGGGACAGAGCAGCCTGTGCTTTAGTAGCCCTCCATGTGATTTTGATGCTTGCTCAAGTGTGAGAGCCTCTGACTCAGGCAGAGGGTTGCCACCATCATGTCGCCCCACCCCACTGCTAACACAAGGTGGCCTAAAGTCCCTCTCACTCCACTTTATCACCTAAGTAAGTTCCTCTGCACCATCCCCACCCTCCACACCTGCTGCTCTATCACCATAGCCTTGCCAACCTTCTCAGGGCCTCCCCGTCTCCACGGAGGCTGCTCCCAGCACCTGGCTGGCCTTGCCTTGCCCCTGCCCCTGCACCTGACCCAGCAGCTTCAGACCACTTTCCCCACCGCTCCAGCCTATGATGCTCTTTCCTACTCTGCAGTTTAAAACACTGCCTGCTGCTGCCTTGGCTGTTCTATCGGTGTCTGTGTGGAATCCCAGGACATCCTGTAAGGCAAGGGTGTCAAACTCATTTTCCCTGGGGGCCACATCAGCCTCACAGTTGCTTTTAAAGGGCCAAAATAATTTTAGGACTGTATAAATGTAACTAATCCTTAACTGTTAAGGCGTTGAAATTACATTCAGCCCTTTGAAGGCAACCTTGAAGCTGATGTGGCCCCCAGTGAAAATCAGTTTGACACCCCTGCTCTACGGGATTCCCCACATACCTTTTCAGAGAAAGACACTGAGGACAGGGGCACAATAAAATACTCAGTGACTAAGTGAACCAGTAATCTGGGCACTATGGCATTTTTCTGGCCTCTCTAAATGCTGGGCAGCACCTGCCATCTTTGCTGCTTCCATTCGTTCTACAAGCATGTGCTGAGCACTGCTGCCATTGGGTCCTGAGGACTGAGTAACAAACATGACAGAGGTCCCTCCCTCAAGGGGCTGATTATCTAGTAGCCAGTGCCCCTAGTTCCTCAGGAAGTGGCTGGACCTTCTTTTTGATAAAGAACAATAGTGATTAAAAAGTTGTCTGTCAGGCCAAGAATCTGCCTGCCTATAGACCTTCCAACAACCTAGCCCAGTGGATATGGTAGGCACAAAAAAGGGCTAGACAGCATATCTCAGAAGGCCTTGTCACCAGTGACGCCAAGTGATGACTGCCAGGGAAGCCATCACCTCTTCTGCTCTCCTCCAGAAAGAAGTCTGCACCAAGTCTGTTTGCAATGAGTTAAACTTCTAGATCAATCACTGCCACTAACCACCCTAATATGCGTTTCCTCTACTCCTGCGATTCTTAAAAGAGCCGCACTCACTTCTTTTTTTCCCTCTTCACTCCTCAACACAGTATCTCGCTTCCACCTTTCCAAATGTGGTCAAAGATCTTTGGCAAGAAAATGCATCAAATCTTTTAATTAAAAAAATAAAGCAGACACTGGAGATCCAAGATGGTGGAGGAGTCAGTGGAAGCTACCCTAACTTCCTCCTAGGATCAATCTGGAATTACAACTAAATTCTAGAGAAATTATCTTGAATAACCAACTGAACACTAGCTGGAGAGAAGCCTTACAACCAAAGACAGACAGAAGAAAACACTTCAGCACAATGTGACTGATAGGGTGTGTAGAGGAGGTATGAGAGAGCTGGCTGGACTCCCAAGGGTGGCAGCTGAGGTTCCGGAGGTATATTTCTGTGTCCAGGGGATTCCCCCTGAGAAGTGTGTGGTCTAAACCCCAAGCTAAGCTCCCCAGCCTACAGCACCAGAGCTGGAAAGGAGCACAGATATCATCCAGCTATAAAAATAGCACAAGTTCTATCATCCAGGGAGAGATGGCTAGAAATGCAGAAAGCCTTTTAAAGGACCAACACACAAAATTTTGTTTGCAGCCACTTACCCTGGGTCCTGGCAAAGGAAGGGCAGAGTGGACTAGAGATGCTTGAGGAGAGTCTGGGGTTGGTGAGCCTGGGAGAGAACTGAGGGAACAGCAGCCAGGATCCACATGCTGAATCATTCCCCATACAGCAGGAGCCATCTCTCTTAGGCGAGAGCACTCCTCTCTGAATGGCATCAGCCTGAGAGGAAGCAATAGCCCTACCCACAGGAATCACTCTGCCTGCCCTGTGGTGCTTAAGCCTGACTGCTGATCACAGATTGATTAGATTAACAACTGTCCAGATTAGTGGCTAATTACTTTAACATCTAAGGCAGAAAATACAAAGCAGCAGCCAAAATGGGAAGACAAGGAAACAGATCCCATATGAAAGAATAAGATAATTTTCTAGCAAGAACTAGATGAAATGGAAGTAAGCAATTTATCAGATAGTTTAGAGTAATGATTACAAGGATACTCAACAGCATGAAAAAGGCATAGAAACCATGAAAAAGGATCAGTCAGAAATAAATAACACAATATCTGAGATAAATAATATACTTGGAGGAATAAACAGTCGGTTAGATGAAGCACATGACTGAATCAGTGATTTAGAAGACAATGTAGAAAAAAACAGGTAGAGCAGTGAAAAGAAAAAAGAATTAAAAAAATGAGGACAGCTTAAGACACATTCTGGACAACAGGAAGTGTAACAACATTCGAATCACAGAAGGAGAAGCGAGCGAGCAAGGGATCAAGAACATATTTGAAGAAATAATAAATGATAATTCCCTAATGCGGTGAAGGAAAAAGCTGCACAAGTTCAGGAAGCTCTGGGTCCCAAATGAGTTGGACACAAAGAGGCCTACACTAAGACACATTATAATTAAAATGAAAAGGCTTTCAAGACAAGGAGAGAGTCCTAATAGTTGCAAGAGAAAAGCAGGTAGTTACTTACAAGGAAGCACCAATTAGACTCTCATCTGATTACTCAACAGAAACATTTCAGGCCAGAAAGGAGTGGTGTAAAATATTCAAGGTGATGAAATACAAGAACTTGCCCAGCAAGGCTATCATTTAAAATAGAAGGAAAGACTTCTGGCCAAGACAGAGGCACAGGTAGACACACTGTGCCTCCTCGCACAAGCAAAAGAAGGATAACTACAATTTAAAAACAAAAAACAATCAGAACTGACAGAAAATCAAACTGTACGGAAGTCTGACAACCAAGGAGTTAAAGAAGACACATTCATCCAGACTGGTAGGAGGGGTGGAGACAGGAAGCTGGGCAGAGAGGAGTCGCTGCAAGGCAGCGGCTGGCGGCCCAGCGAGGCAGCAGATTCACCAATTGGTTTCACCAATACATCTGGTA